CCATATGCCTTTTCTGATGCATCTGTAAAGATGTGTAATTGAATGTTGGCAGGAACTTCGCCCTTGAAAATATGACGAGATATCTGCAGACAATTTACTTTTGTCAAATTGTTCCGGAACTCTAACCACTGTTTATGTAATTCAGTCGGCAGTTTTTCATCCCAATCCATCTTTAAATTCCATAATTCTTGAATAAAGATCTTTGCCATCACCACAACTGGTGACAAAAGTCCTAGTGGATCAAATAGCCATGCTAAATCTGAGGTTGCACTGCGCTTCGTCGTGCTGCAAACAGGTTCCAATTTAACCTTGACGCATAAACTATCAGATTTTGGACACCAAGATAATCCAAGAGTTTTTGTTGTATCGTTATTATTTTCTAAATCTAAATTGACTTCTAGGTCATCGTGTGGAATTCCTAGAATGATTTGCGCACCATTTTGGCAATTTAAAACCGCTTGCTGTCAGTATTTTGTTTAATTGACTCTGAGTTTCCAACAATGTTCTCAGACTATCAGCCCCGTGTAAACAGTCATCTACATAGAAGTTTTGTTTGAGAGCAGATGCACCTAATGGATAATTTTGCATATTGTCATCAGCTAAAGCTTGCTTGGCTGACTTGGTTCATTTCTCCAAACGATAAGCTGACATTGTCTGTCTTCTGGATGTACAAGTATTTGTCGGTACATCTTTTCAATGTCTGTTGTAAACACATAACGAGGAAGACGGAATCGTAATAAAATAGACAGTAATTCACTTTGAACAGGTGGTCCGATGTATAGTAAATCATTGAGAGATTGCCCTGATGTTGTTTTGGATGATGCATCAAATACCACACGTAACTTGGTGGTGGTACTGTCGGGTTTAAGCACACAATGGTGTGGTATAAAGTAATGTGGTGACATAATCCTTTCAATATCTATTTCGATCATATGTCCCAATTTTTCATATTCATCTAAAAACTCTACGTATTGTCGTTTGAGGTGACTATCCTTTGAAAGTCTACGCTCTAGTGCTAGAAATCTATTATAGCAATGTCTTTCGAATCTCCCAAAGCGAATCTGTCATTTATAAAAGGAAGACGTGAGTGAGTATCAACTTCTTCAACCTTCCAGAGTTGTTCTATTGCATTTTCTAAACTATCTTCTGATGCTATTCCACAATCTGTCATTTATAAAAGGAAGACGTGAGTGAGTATCAACTTCTTCAACCTTCCAGAGTTGTTCTATTGCATTTTCTAAACTATCTTCTGATGCTATTCCACATGTTGCAATCATTGTGTTAGCATTTTGGATTTTTTCAGATACGATCCATCCGAGCACAGTGTTCTGTAGAATTGGTAGTTCTCTTGAAAGTTGTATTTGACCAGGACTTAGGAGTTGAGGATAAAATTCTGCTGCAAGCAACATATCAATTTTGTCAGACTTATAGAATGTAGGATCTGCTAATTGGATGTAATTAGGCAGATTCCAATTTGAAATTTGTAAGTGCTGCGATGGTTAATTGGATACAATTTTTGGCAACACAAATGCTTCAAGTATTGTTTTGTAATCGGTCACTTTTGATTGCACAGAAGGTGTTGTACGCCTTTTAGAACTCAATTTACCTATCCCTATGCCTTCGATGCAAATCGAACTGGAGCTTACTTGCAGACCCAATCTGGATGCCAGTCGTTCAGTCACAATATTTATTTGTGAACCTGAATCCAATACTGCTCTGCACTCGACTGTTCTTCCATTAGAGTTGGAGGCTAAAAGTTTTGCTGTTCCCAAAAGAACGCAACTGGTATGACCATGATTGATGGATGACATTAGAGTTGTTTATGCAAGTGGCCTTGAAGTGTTTTCAACTAACTTATGATTTGATGGTTGAACTGGGTGCCTATTTTGATGCAACAGTGTATTATGTCTTCTTTGGCATATAGTACAACCCCTGCTGGAGCATTGTAATCCATATGACCAGGTTTCATGCAGGTTGTGCACAATTTATGACGTTTTAGTAAATCATACTTCTGTTGTATGGATTTACGTTTGAAAGTTTCACATGAAAATAATTGATGACAACTATTGCAAGTAATACATTTTGATTCTGAGTCTGTAGCTGCAAGTGCTACTGCTGGATGTCGTGGTTTGTGACTCTGTTTGTGGTTTCCATTCGTCATTGATTCGAATGCCTGAAATCTTCCTTCTAGGAACAGCAATAATTCTTTTAATGAAATTATTCTTCGGCTGTCTTCTAACGATTGCTCGGATGCTGTATGTGAAGCTTTGTCTAGCTTTCTAATAATTACGTGAACTATTATGGCGTCCCAAGATTTAACATCAATACCTTGAGCTGCTAATCCATAATAGCATTCTTTTGTAACATCATGTATGCCCTTAAGACTGCTTGCTGATTCAATTGTTATATTTGTTTGTCATAAAAATTTATTTAGTAATGCTGTCACCAAGAGTCGTTTGTTGTCATACCGATTTGACAGAATATCCCAAGCTATATTGTAATTTTGCTCGGAAATTGGCAGATACCGTATGAGGGCTTTTGGCTCACCCGCCAAATTTGTAGATAGATGGAACATTTTGTGGGCTGCGCTTATTGATTGATCATGGATCAATTGTTGAAACAAATCTCTAAATTCAATCCATTTCAAATAGTCTCCATCAAATGTTGGTAAAACTATTTTTGGAAGTCTGATTTGTTGAGTTGCTGCAGGCCCCTCTGACGTCAATCCTTCAGTAGGTTGACTGTGTTGTTTTAAATATATCAACGCGTTTTGAGCATCTTTATCCGTTGAATAGTATTGATCCCAAGTATATCCGACGATGTCTTTTGCGTCGACTGATGACCATATTTCATCATTGTTATCCCTCAGATCCTTCTGATATTTTTCTATCAGAGAATATTTCAGATCATAATAACTAGGGTGATGTTTTATGGTAATTTCCTCATAAATTTCATCTATGCTTGCGCGTAATGCATGCATTAATGAGGAGTGCGTTTTGATGTTTCGCATGAGCGATGTAGCTTTGTTTGACCCTCTTGGGCTTACTACTGGCTTCCCGTCCTGTGGTTTTGGGATTAGCCTTGCTTTCTCCAACTTGAATCGTTCATCATATTTGACTACTAGATTGGAGATTTTTTCAAAGTAACCTGTACTGAAATACTCGTGTTCGAGTTCAGGTTGTGGCAATGCTTTGATTTCAGCATCATTTATTTCAAAATCATTTCATAGGGAATTTAGCTTCTTTAGTCGGTCTTCATAGTAAATGGAATCCTGCTTCCGGATACTAGAGTCCTTTTTAAAATTGGTTATCAGTCGCTCAATCTCTGTACCGAGCTCTGACTGCTTCTTTAATAACGCATCCATGGCGATGTTTCAATTTTCCGAAAATTCCAATAAATACTTCAGCTGGTTAATGAGTAGACCTTTTGGTGTGTCCTTTTGTAGGTAATTGACTCCTTCGATATGTACTTTGATAAAATGAAAGCTGATATTTTATCAACAATCACGTCGGGGTCACCAAAAAATGTACGCTACTTGGTGCTAACCCTGATCCTTAATCTGTGTTAGCTTGGTAGCCAATTTTTGTGTGTAAAGTAGTTTGAGCACTTGTAACCCAAACTACTTGTATTTTTTATGTTGATTAGTTTGAGCACTTGAAACCCAAACTAATCGATGCGAGAAAGTAAGAAATGAAAGTTATAATTGGTTTATATTTCAATTCTGTTCCTTCTGAACTTT